TATCACGTGACTTCTAGACAATCCGCTTAAGCTTTTTGTGGTATTTTTAGCGCTCAGTAGCTTACATGAGCAAGCCTAGTAATTACCAAAAAGCACTGATCAATGTAATTTATGTGATTTATAACAGCGAACATTCTTAGCCGTTTTCGCGAGATGTGTTCCATAAGGGAGCATTCATTTCTTAGCTGGGGGGGGGGGCGGAGAATTTGGGGGTGGGCTAGCCAATTTTGACATGCATCAAAGGGGTGGGTCTTTTTATAGTTTTGGTATAAATGGAGGGGTCATAAAAATAATCAGTGAAAAAATCACCAATATGATTTTATTGAATTTGGAAATATTTGGATCAAGAATGGTAAAAAGGTCCAGAATCTATCAACTATCTCGTCATCTATAACAATGAAGCAAAATTCATTTGACGCTGTTCACACAGTCCATAGGAAAACATTTCTATGACGTTCGTCAATTGACTTCGTTTTTATCCGTTTTTGTGTGAAAACATGAATGAAAGAAAACGCAGGACCGTAGCATGATCTCAAAATCATGCATGATTTCAAGGTCTGCATGACTTCAAAATCATGCAGACCTTGATCAATTTTAAGCTTTATTAATTTTAAGGCTACATTATCCATGACAAACTGCAAAGAATGAAGATAGTACCCACAGTTTCCTGCAACTTATCCTAGTTATCCAATATATAGTTAATTAAATACGCCTTCGCCCATTCAGTACTACCAAATTGTCAATTTCGACATACTAAAATGCTGTTTTCTGACCATCAGAATTCTGTCAAATCTTCCCCCAAAGGCCAGAAAATGGCATTTCAGAGACTCTAGATTTAAAAATTTCCTCGGGCCTTCGGCCCTCGCTATCAGCCCCCTAATAAAAAGGAGCTTCCTACGGCCCTGAAACGCTATGGAAACGACACCGTGTAGATTAATAGTTAGGATGAGGGGTCAAAAAATTTTCAGTAAAAAAAATAGGGGGTCATAATTTTTTATCAACTTTTGTCTTGGGGGTTCCAAGTTTTCGCATGGAATTAGACATCAGTTCCTCCAGCCCACCCCCCCAGCTAAAAAATGAATGCTCCCTAATTTACCTGTAAATAAATGTGTGAAAATAATGTAATTTTCAGCATGCTCGTTGGCAAAAAAAAACCCAACCCCAGACCTGTCAATATAGAATATTTAAACAGGGAGATTTCACTTTAACTCTTGAAAAACCGGGAAAGCAAATTTAAAGTCATATCCAGTGTTCAAAATCATATGCAGCATTCAAATGCATAGTGTTCAAAGTCATATGCAGTGTTCAAATGGAAAGCAAATTTAAAAGTAAGTCATATGCAGTGTTCAATACAGCAAAAAATTCTAATCATTTTCCCTCTGTAATCATCAACAACTTGTGAAATACTAATTAACATGGCGGAAATGCAACTAGTTTTCGAGATTTCATGTTACATTTCATACCCTTACCGGTGATAATCTACTGGTCGCTTATTGTGCAAAAGAGGCTAAAAAAAGCCAAACACTTGTAGTTCATGAAGTAAGTTCCAGCTTGAGTACGAGTGATTTTCACGCGATCACTCTTTCTTGCCAGATATTTGCATCCGGAAAATATTCCACTACTTTCTAACAATTAAACATTTGTCGGATTTCGTTTTACTCGACTACCGCGCAAAATATAAGTGGTTCGTGGTGATTTGTCAGTGGCTCTCTCATATTTTGGTTATAAACAATTTGGGGATTTCAGTATATAGCTATCAGGCCTTGTTTTTCCTTCCTTAAATGCAGCTACTTACTATATGGCACTTTTCCTTCAATCGTTCTCAATCTTGCTTTTAAGTGCTGTTCAAGCTGTGCCAAGTTCTTTTCGAGACGTGTAACTTCAGTCATTAAACTCTTTGTCTTTAAAGTAAATTAATAAATAAAAAACATGTAGAAGCGCTTTTATATAGATTGACTAAGATTTATGGAGTGAACGGTGACGCCCTATAGGATCAATTACTCCATTGTAGAAGTAACGTAGTTCGATTCGATTGCATCCGAAAAGATCTTGTTGCTCATGCAGTAGGCGTTTCAAGTCCATTGTTATTCTTTATATAACTGATTTTGCATTTGTAAACGAGAGCTGCACCGCTAGCCATGTTAATTTGCAAACAGGATAGTGAGTTGCATGGTTGATCTAAAATCAAGGTTAAAAAGAGTATTTTCTGGATTTACTCCTGAATTTGTCTCAGAATGGGAAAATTGCTGTTCTCGAGATTCTAAACTATTCAAAATTTCCTCGTGCATAGGAGCATGCCTCCTTTTAAATCACCGCTTAAAGCTAGATGTAAAAAAGATGTTTTCTGGCACCTGAAATAACAATAGGGCCAAAAAAAAAATATGTGGGTTTCCGGTTTCCCGACCCTACCTAGCGTTTGGACGTCGAAATCCCGACCCTAAACTTTTTTATTAGATCATGCTTGTAAGTGTTTCCACTTAGAGGAAAAGTTTGTGAAAAATTGAAATTTGAGGCAATATTAGGGAAATTTATCTTTGAATGTGGAAGCACTGACTAAACAAAATGGCGTCCGCTTATTCGGAAAATTAAAAAAAAAGTTTAAAAAAAAAGTTAAAACCGACCTACCCTACCTAAGTTTTTATAAGAAGAAACCGGAAACCCACATATTTTTTTTTTTGGCCTAGCTAGAAACGTTTAAATTATAACCATATACCATGCAGTAATAGTCATTGTATATAACAAACTTTTTGCATTTGTTGGTGCATGCATTGCCTGAAATTATAAGATAAGCGCCTACTTCTTTTTCACGGCCAATGGCGTCCCATCCATTTCCATTGTTCACATACAGTTTTTCATTATCCTCACGATATGAAAGGAATCCGGGCACTGATGGAAAGTTGTTGAGTTTTTCTTTGTTTTTAACTACGAGTGTCTGAAAGAGATTGAATGAGGGTTTTGTTGGCAGGCTTTTAGCCAGAAGGGCGTCCAGGCGTCCTGGGACGCCCCTAGAACGAAAAATGGACTCATTTGGACGCCCAAATTCTGGGGGTAAAGGGAAATTATTTTCAATAATTTCCCTAAGTATATTAATATATCTGAAACGAAATAGCTCCAATTCTCATTATTATTATACATTTGACATTTTGATCAATTTGATGGTGTACCTGGCTGAATGAAAATGTCATAGTTAAGTAAAGAAGCATAGCGGCACAAACTCACAAAGCCAAGTGTGTTTTAAAAATTTCGAACAAGCTTGGAACAGATACTGACATGAAGTAGCTAACGTAAACTTCAAAGGTTTTCCAGAGGAACGTTTTCTCGAACCCCCCCCCCCCTTTACTGTAGATGTTTCGCTATACCAAAATTGGACGCCCTCTTTTAGGACCCAGGCTAAAAGCCTGTTGTTGGTTTTGGTTAAAATCGAGCGGTAAGCTATAATATTACTGAAGAAAGTAAATCTCAGATTGAAGTATGGTAATTTCCAACATATGATTTCGAAAGATAAAAGTGTTCAAAAAATGCCATAATAATACAATATACTTACACCTTCATTAAGAAATGCCTGAAATTGTTCAGAACATGTACCCTGTAAACATAAAAGAACGAATTTCGTAGTTCTTAAAAATATATCTTTTGTAAATTTCATGAATCTCATGAGACTGCATATTTCCGCCAGTAAATTAAGTTAGGGACCGGTCATAAAGTAACTGCTAGGGTGGGCTGGAGTGATTTGGGATGGGCCATGGAAAATCTTCGGGCAGTTTCGATGGGCCGCCAATGTTTTGGTATGTCCACGGTTGGGTCACCAAACAAAAACCCATGCATGTCTACTTCAAAAAAAATATATTAATAATAAAAGTATACAAAACTATCCAAATTATCAAATGCAAATGCTGCTATTGAAGCCAGTACTTTGTTTATAAAACAACAAGAAGTGGTCGAATCACAGCAGATACAGCCAAATGGAGAGCATCTCGGTATCGTAATTGGTGATGAATGTGTTGGTCAAGCTTGGTGGAATTATGTTTGTCAATACAGTGCCGTGCATATTTACAATGTTACCTGCAAGTTTTTTTTTATTACAAAAGTGTATTTTCCCAATTTAGATTGGGTGGGTCATGAAAAATTTTTTGTAACGATTAGATGGGCTTTGAAATTTTTATCCACATCCCAAGATGGGTCATCAAACTTATTGGCAAAATTTGTGATTTACCTCCAGCCCACCCTAGCAGTTACTTTATGACTAGTCCCTTAACTGTCCTGGATTATACAATGGGCTAATTATCATGCAGTGTATTCTGCCCGGCAAAGTAAGACAAACTTTTGCTAATTTCGAATCCAATTTTTATCCAAATTTAACTCCCAATTTAATCAATTTGTCCTTGGGCAATGCACATTAGCCCCACAAATTTTCGTATTAATACGTTTCGATCTTTTTTGAGCTAATTCTATTGCTTATTTCTTTTTGGATAAATAAATGCTTCCCAAATTGTCTTGAATGCTTACACACGAAACAATAACTTGAATGACTCGATGCTGACAATGTAATTATAGAATAAGATGACATTGCCAATCTCGACATGGTATCATTATCAAAAATGCAAATCCGGGAAGTGTCTGTTACTAGTAAACAATACCTTATGGGCAGTACCAGTCATTCTATCAATATAATACGTTTCAGATTTCCCAGCTTCTGTCTTCATCTTAAATTCCATACATCTTTTCCACAATCGTTCAGGCATGCTTGTTCGTATCCAAAACCAAACGTAAACCTTGCCAGTTATGATGGTACCACCATTGACAGCTTTACATTTTCTGCTGCAATAATGCTCTCTTCCACCTTTGGGGCCAAAACATGCACAACACTAAAACGATATAAGCAGTGCAGTCGAGAACCTTGCAAATTAGTAATATAATAAAACTCAACTTAATTCTTCAGATTTCCCAGCTTCTGTCTTCTGTAACAACTTAGGCTTACAAACCTTGCTAGAATCGCAACCAACAAAAGCTGTGGCATCGTGTGTAATACCTGAAAACTGTGAACTTGCACTATAACTGAAAATGTAATATGACATGTAAATTATTTAGCACAGTCACAATGAAGATACAGCTTTGAAAGTTAGTGGGAGCTAGCTTAAAAAATTCCTTTCCCTAAAAAGGAGCTTATTAGAGAGAGGGACTTGATTGAGAAGGGGGCTTATTTTACGGTACATAGCAAAATTGCAAGAAAATATATTACAATCAATCTAACAGGCTCAGGTAAAAGGTATAAAATTACTCCAACATCGGACAGATTGGGCGTTACCGAGCCTCTGTTTACCTGAAAGATCCGTGACTGTCAAGTCTGAAAGGAACTCCTTCCAAAAATGCATAACCTTTAGGACATTTGTTTCTGAGACAATAACTCATCCTTCCCTGGAAAAGTAAGCATATTCGTACCACATTAACACTCCTATTTATCAATTTTGTTTATCTTATCAAGCAAATTTGAGAACTGTACAGATTTTTAAGTCTAAATATAGTTATGTGAAATTTGTAATACTATTAATAACGGCACAGTGCAGCGTTTTAAATTATGTTTTTTTTAATATGATGTGAACATATTAAAAAGTGATGCGTTTTAAAAAAATGAAAAAAAGATGCGTTAAAAAAGTGATAAAAAAGATCATCATTTAAAAAAAATCATCATCATTTAAAAAAAAAATGATGCGTTTTAAATGATGGTTTTTTAATGTGATGTGAACTTATTTTTTCTATATTTATATTGTTATCTTGTAAAGGGCCCACTGTAATTGGTGTTAAGCTGTTGTGGTGTCCCAGTTTCTTTATGCAATTATCGTATGATGTTTCAGTGGAAGCGAAGCACAATAAATAAATAAATCAATAAAACATGCGGGTAAGGTGCAATTTTGAAAGCCGGAATTAATTACGTTTTTCAATATAATATTGAGAAGGAATTCAAACAAAATATTGAGAATATATGCATGATAGGAGTCAAATTTCACATCAAAATAGCCAGGTTTAATAAGCTGTGAAAAATGCAAGTGTGAAAAATGCAAGTACTGGCAGGAAGCCAGAAGGCACAAGCCCAAAAACAAACGCTACAAAACCTTGAACATGCCCAAAATAATCCTGATACTAGTTACACATGCAGTTAAATTAAATCATAATTAAAGAAAAAGTTACCCATCCAAGGTTAAGGTCCGTATTAGGTCCAAATTTTGAACAGTTGAAATTTGTTGTAACCACTGTCTCAGTAAGGATATCTTTAACATAAGAAATGTTTCCAATCCCCGAATGAAAGTCTGTACATCCACCACTTCCAGCACCACCAAACAGATTACCAAGAGCGCGGTTTGTTTTTAACCTGTATGACCTTTACACAATTGATTATAAACACTGGTGTGAATGACAGGGGTAGTGTGTGTAACACTATGTAACACGGTGGGGTTAGGGGTGGGGTTAGTGTGTGTAACACTATGTAACACTATGTAACACTGTCAGCACTATGTAGCACTGTGTAACACTATGTAACACTGTGTAACACTATGTAACACTGTGTAACACTATGTAGGAATATGTAGCATTGTTTAACACTGTGTAACACTTGTAACAGTGTTACAACTGAGTGCCATAATAAAGCCACCCCAAATCGTGCATGGTATAATATGTATGGTATGGTATGAGTGGTACACAGTATAGTGTGGTATGTTATGGTAGGTATGGTATATATGTAGTTTGACATGGTATAATATTGTGTATTGTATGGTTTAGTACGGTATGGAATAATATATGGTATGAATCTATGATATTGTATGGCATGATTTGGTATTTTGTATAATGGTATAACATTGTATGGTATCGTATGGTTTGGTGCGGTGCATTGCATGGCATGGTTTGGTATGGTACAATATGGTATGGTATGGTATAATATGGCATGGCATTACTTGGCATTGTTTGGTATGTATGGTATGATATGGTACGGTATAGTATGCTCTCAACTGCATAACTCACCAATGTGCCTTTGTGTCTTCAAAGTTCTTTGTCGTTGAAATTTGAATTGCAAAATCCTGTACGCTGACGTCACCAAACTTGCTGGACCAATGAGGAGGTCTCAATGGATCTACTGGATTCTCATTCGTTGGTACGTTCCATATGACTGGACTCTCTTTCATTCCGATCAGCGCAAAACCTCCGCCGTCTGTATGTGTGTCACACCACAACTAGGGAATGAAAGCTAAATAGTATACACTCAGTGCTGTTATACATCATTCACATTACGTTTCTTAAATTTATTTAATTATTAAAGTTATTTTAAAAGCATTGCGTGAACAGATTTCCCCCACACATTTAACAGAATCAGTCGGCTTTTGAAAACAATGTCCACACCACGGACAAAAAACACTGGATTGTCGGCGAATGTCGCCGTGCAATTATAGGACTGGTGGATTTCCCAATTTAGAGAAGGGGCGTTTTTGATGGAACTATTCAACAAAAAATTACCACGTACCTATAACCTAATGTCATATAAATGGTTTCATACATGTTTAGCATGCAGCACGAAATATTTCACAGTCCATACATAGTGGTATGGCATTTTCCTGTGATATATCAGTATGTACATTAGACTTTGGTAGCATTTGGTTTTACCAGAAAATACAACCGATTTTCTGGACAAATTACTGTAACATAACCAGACAAGATTGCTCTTAAATTGCTAAAAAAATTGGTTTCACGAGAATGCAAAAGTTGACCACATTGGAATGGGGGCAGTTTTTAACATCACGTGCAAAACGCTGAATTATAAAAATAAAAGGCTTAGATCAAGGCTGGGATAACCCTATCTATTACCTGGAATAGTAATTGGGTTAGGTTATACCCATCAAAAGAATACCTTTGAAAGTTTTCCCCTGGTGTGTTTTATCCAATAGAAACCATCTTTTGCTTCGGGAAGATTGTCTACTATATCAGAGCAATCTTTTGCGGGATTGAAGTTTTCACCAAGTGTAGAAGAACCTATATAGAAGACAGTCAGTGTTTGCTTTTTGCCCAATTAGGTCTAAAATTGTGTATAATTTCAATTAATTGAAAATGTTCTATATGCAGTTCTTATATCCGCAAATAGCTATATATATAGTCTAGTTATAAATCTTACCATCCAGAAAGTTCCACGCATAGTGTCCACTCTTTTTCACACAGATTAGAACTCCGTCATCCCCAGAGACCTTGCGATACAAGGTGCGTTTCCCTTTTCTCGATTTCGAACAGGAAGATAACTGCGAAAAAAACTAGTACTCAATTTTTGGGTATTCGGCACTGTATTCTTTGAACAAGCAAGTGTTTATACGTATATGGTCCATATATTCAAAGAAAAAGCTCAACACGATTTGATCCTGCAAATCTGCGAAAGCGTAGCAGGTGGCGGCGAATCGGCTAAACTATAAGCTGACTGTTGAGGTATAAGACTATAATATCAACATTATTTGCGCTTGTGCTATATAGAAGCCCGAATCGTTTGGGTATTGGAAGCATTTTGGAACTTTTTCCGCGCTGTTGTTTGGCATATGGGTGTAAAGTTTAGTTTATTAATATATTATACTATAATCTATATATATATACCTTTTCCTGAGCAGCCACACATTGCACATATATTAGTAAGAGAACGAGGACTGATTTGCGAACATTTTCTGATCGTAGAGAAATCTTCATTTTATATATTTCGCCTGGCTAACTCTCTAAGTGTTTCTTCTCGGGATGTCGCTGGCGTAATGAAACGAGTTCATTAGATTTTCGCGATATCATTGTTTTGAGGAAAGCAAAAACATGTCTGAAAGTTTCCGTTTCAGCATTAATAATAAACAGATTATTATTATTATTATAAGCTACTGAAGCCGGAAGAAAGACTAGAGAAATCTGTGCCAGAACGATCATTTCTATATTATGACAAAGGCATGACCACAACATTATTATACTATATACGTGTATCCTTTAACTCGTGCATGTTTTGTGTACGTGTTCTTGTTGCGGAAATGCATTCACTCTTTTTTACTTTTCTTCGCTAAAAACATAGGCTCGCTTGCTGATATATCAGTCGGCAATAAAGTTAAGGGCTAACAACAGGATATCATTGAGCCTGCCGCGAAGCCACCGCCCACTTAGTTAAAAGATTGAATAAAATATTTAACAAATATTCAACACGCTAAAGTATACCATATTAATCCGTTTTAAATATATATGATCCAAAACATACGCCTGTATTCTATATAAAAGCTCACTCACACTCAAAGAGTGGAGGTCCAATCTCAACCTCGTTCCCAAAGGACAGACCCTGCATGGGAACGAGGTTAATCCAATCTGAGCTTCCCCTGAGTGTCAGTGCTGTTTTTGAATAGCTGGAGAGTGATTAGTCACATAGTAAGGCACGACACTCACCCTCCAGCTATTCAAAAACAGCATTGACACTCAGGGGAAGCTCAGATTGAACCTCCACTCTTTGAGTGTGCTTTTAGAATACAGGCGATAGTCCGTATAGAATATTCGTAAACGATTCCCGTCGAATCGCGATCGTGCGTATGAAAAGACAAGCGGGCGTATTTTTAAGGTAGTTGACTTAGAAAGGACTGCAATATATGGGCGGTCCATGTCTAGTTTATATTAACTTTGGAAAGTGTAAGGATGGTTTGGAACGCATTGATCGTGTGTTGTAATTTTGTGTTGTAGCTTTGTTAAAGTTTGTAACCCTGTCTCTATTGTTTCACAATGTCAATGTAATGTATAGGTAGGACTTAATTTGGGACTACTGAGTCCTGTTGACTGTCAGGGCCGTTGCGAAGGGATATGGATTGGGGGGGTGTCGAAGGTCAAATTGCCGAGTGACGCCAGTTGAATTTGCCGAGTTTTTCAAAAGTTTGTATAGGTAATGAGAAGAAAAGTTTGTATAGG